CTTTACAATATTGATGCATACATCATTTACCCTTAGTATTGGTAGTCTAGTTAGAATAACCTGGTTTTGATACTCCTATTTGATTCTTACAGGCCTGGCTTGGAAAACATGATTCTTATGAAGCTATAGTGGATGGAGCAAATGTTGGGCTCTATCAACAAAATTTTGCTGATGGTGGATTTAGCATTTCTCAGGTTGTATGCCTAAGTTATATAGTTCATTCAACTTTTCTGTCTGAACAATTTATGCAAGTTTTTGCTCTTGCATGATAATTTCGGTTTATTGATTTTGCAGCTAATTGTGTTTGTATTATTGATTTTGTAATAGTGCAGCTTGATGATGTTGTGAAAGAACTCTACAACCGGAGTGGTAAGAAGTGGCCACTCGTTGTGCTGCACAACAAGCGGCTGAGAGGGATGATGGAAAATCCTTCCAGCAGGAAACTGTTGGAGGAGTGGATGAATAATGGTGCACTGTATACAACTCCAAATGGATCCAATGATGATTGGTAAATTCCCAAATAAATATCTTAAACATTGCATTTTTTTTTCACTTTTAATCTTAGTACAATAATATTTTTTGTTGACCTTTTTGACTGTTTCTTTAAATGTACATGCAAAACTGATAATTTATTATTTGGTCTCTAAAAACATCCAGTTTCTCTTGGGACCTTATTTTTTCTTCAACTGGCATTAAATTATTATTTGGTATTCAGTTTGTGAGTGTATGCATTTATTTTTTTGTTGGTCTAAGACTCTAAATTAAAGCATGCACCAGTTTTACAACTTGAATTTATCAAGTATGAATATAGAGATTTTTGCATAAGATTTAATTCACATTTGATGTGCCATATATTATACTTCTCTGCATTAGACAGCTGAAGCTATTGGTGAGACTGACGTGAACTCAGACTTGAATAACTGAGAAGGTCTAAAGGAAAGTTAAACCTTTTTAAAGGCTTAAATGTAAACAGTGGTATCTTTTAAGGTTCAAATATTTAATGGTTAATTTATACAAAATTCTTTCTTTTGTTCTTCATTTATATGTTATAATTTTTTTTTCTGTTTGGCACTGATTCATTTTTTTTTTTTTAAATTTAGTTTTGAATCCTCAAATTTCATCAGTGATTTACTAGTATTAATCTTCTGGATTTCAGGTATTGGCTCTTTGCAGCAGTAAAACATAGGTGCTTGCTTGTGACAAATGATGAAATGCGAGATCACATATTTGAACTCATAGGAAGCAACTTTTTTTACCAGTGGAAAGAAAGACATCAGGTAATTATTATTATTATTATTTTCCTGGCTTTGTTTACTTTGGCAACTTTACTCTCGGTCTTCTATTTACTCATCTGTATTTTTCTGATATTGGTAACTCCTTAAAATTAGTTCAGGAGATTTTTCATTAGGATATTGTGATTTTGTGCTCATTAAATTTTATTGTACCTTTTTATGTGGGATTGGGTCTTTTCAGACAGGGTGTGTCTGTAACTTTTGAGAATAAAAAGTTCGATCTGTTGCCATTGGATAAACATCATGCCCTTTAGGACATTTTCGAATGTTTGGCATAGGAGTAGTTGATTCCTGTTGGAGCCTTTAAGGTTCTTTTGTGTATGGTCCAAAATGTGATAAGTAGGCTGTTCGAGGTTTATTAAATGGCTTAGCCTTGTTTTTGTGACAAGTTAACTTGTTTTCTTTATGTACAGGTTCACTACACTTTTGTTAAAGGAAGCCTAAAACTTCAGATGCCACCATCATATTCATTGGTTATCCAGGTAATGCTTGCAATGGACACTCTACTGTTCCTGCTGGGGAAGCGTTATTGGTATTTGAGTTGAGGGGAGATGGTAGGAATTGGGAATATTAGGGACACAATATTAAATTGATTCTATTGTATTAAGTCAGTGTAAGCTTCAGAACATAAATGGATCACAGACGAAGGAAAAAAAAAAACTGAAATGTGAAAGTGGCTCCTATACTTTTCAGGAACAAAGCTTCTAATGAGAATACACCTATACTGCAATGCCCTCCTGCTTTAGCTGAATAAGAGAATAATCACTCGTACCAATGTTCTTTAACTAACCTCCCAAAAATAATCAATTTCATTCCTGTATGCCTTCTGGATGTGACTCAGTAACTAATTGCCATTGCCACCTCAATCATTTTCATTGGTATTCCAGTGTATCTCTTCCTACCATTTGGCACGAGACACAATTGGTCTTCTCAGCTCTTGTATTCTGGTTATTTACAGGAGATTTGTATTGTCATTTAATAATGTGATGCTCGAAAGCATTTTTTACCTCTAATGTTCCAATAAGCTGTGAAAGAAACATTAATGGTTGGTCCTTCAGGCACCAGGGTGAGATGCTTTTGCGATGACAGTTGTATGCGTTTTCTACATTGGTTTGGAGGCAGAGAAAGTTGTTCTTCATTAGTTTGAACTCCAAAATATTTGAATTTTGTGAAAATGGTAATGCTTAATATATATTTTGTTTGCATTTCAGTTTGTTCATTTCTTAAGCATGGAATGTTTTCATTGTATTTGCGTATTTGTTGATGATAAGCAGAGCGGTAACACTGGAATATTGCAAATGTTTGGTGCAATGGGGCTTGGTCTGACATCTGAGCAAGATACCCACGGCTTATTTACTAGGCTTAAACAATATATACGTTGGGTGCCCTTTCTTCTACCCAAACGACCAATTTGTGTGGTTTGTGACACCTTTTTAACCCCATAGGAATATCAAGATGGCTGAGCAGGAGTTGTAAACAAACCCATAAGTTTGTTTACTGGGGTATGGCTTAACCATAGGTACCTCGTATCTCTTTCTACCCAGATGACCCATGTGTGTGGGATGTGACACCCTTCCAAACCCATAAGAATCTCAACATGCCTCAGTACGAGTTTTTAATCCCTATTTTATGAATTGCTTGTGTTACCTCTTGATTAGTTTCATTTTACAAAAATAGCGGAAAAATTGGTGAAGTTGTATATTTAGAAATTAAAGGTCGATATCTGATGATTGCTATAAGTGAAACCAAACAAGTTGTAAAAGGGCATTGAAAGGCATCTAAGCTGGTCTTGCAAACATGAAAATCCTAAATACTTTAACATCCAAAATGTTTGCATACTATGCCTCTTCAAATTTGGAACTTCTTTGTTTCTCGTCTACTCTTTGTAAGTTCTGTTTTTGAAAATGTCATGTTTCAGGAATCGGAAAAAGGTTATTGGCATGTACCTCTAGCACCAGGAACCAGCAGTGAGTCTTCGGGATGTTGGCTCTGCATTACCCGGCCAAGTGGTCGTGATGCTGTTGCTACTATTTCTAATGGTGTAAGATGCAGCTTGGATTCCCAAGTTAATGTAAACAATGCCACTTCTATCACTGGTAAAAGAAAAGAGAGGTCTTCTCCTTCATGATGAATCTTTCCATGGGCTTGCCCTTTGTTTGGCTTATCCTTTAATGATTTGGGGATAATGGTGGCAAGATAAACAGCAGCAACTTGCGTCACTGTTATCGAGCTTCTACAAATGATTTTAAGCCAATTAAAAAGGTATATTTTCAACCCTCCCCCAGTAAACCCGCAAAATGCATTATTTACTGTTTAATCTCATTGTTGTAATTATCTTGAAGTTGTTTGGGGTTTCATTCGTGGCTCCAAAGGGGTGGGGTGGTTAGTTAGTAGCTGATATAGATAACCTGCCGCTGGACCATACTCAATGAATGAAAAATATCAACTAGTCCAAGTTCAACAATTAGACTTATATTTTTTAGATGATACTTGTACTGTTAATTGATGATTACTAAATTAATTAATATGACTTAATTTTATTTTTCTTTTCTTTTAGTCCCTTCAGAGTTATATTGAAGAAATTACTTCAATTAGTAGCAAAATCATGGATAAGGAATATTTGAGGATCTACCTAATCTTTTATATTATTTTAAGGAACAATGATAAGATCATATAATTTAGAAAGCTATTTCATACAGTGATTATTTGATTAATTTCCGCATACGTAGTAACCATTACGGTTTGTGTATGGACTACGAACATTTGTAATGTATTTTGTGGTTTTAAGACGTTAAGATAATGAGTTCGACCTGAAGTGACTTTCATTGATGTGATAGTGTTTTCATGTATTACTGTTCTCTGTTTGGAGTTGTTAGTCCTTTGAAAAATTCATGGCGTGTTCAAGGAATTAGTATATTATGTAAAAGGTTTTTTTTTTTTTTTTCATGAACACAAGTTATAATAGAAACTAGGAGTCAATGGTTAATAATAAATAAATAGAATGTTGTTAGAAATTGCTATATATATATATTTTATTTTTTTCGTATTTTAAAACTTTAATTGTTTAATCAGTAACTGATGTTAAAGGAAATTCTCATAATAGATTATTTTTTTATTAGTATTATTATTACAGAAAAGGGAAACAGAATCTCAATCTTAACATGGATAAATAACAAAGGATGAAACCGATGTTATTTTTTAACAGTGACATATAAACACTTTGTTCCCCTCCATTTACTTCAACGTTGTTCAATTGTGTCAAAGTGAATTGGGCAGATAATTTTGGCCCAATCAAATCAAGTGCTAACGTAACTTGTATTGGGAGTTTCTTCCTCCCCACCCAACATATTTCTCGGGCCAAAAAAATTGGAGTCCAAGAAATATTTCAGGTGCTGGAAGTTGGGTCACAAAATCCAAGAAGTAGCAAACAACGTTCCATTCCAACCAATCACGGGTAAACGGTTCCAATTTGAAGTTGTGTTTTGGTTTATAAAATAATAATTTCTCAAAATATTGGCGAAAATACGTTTGAAATGAAAAACACAATGTTCAGTCCGTATATCAAACACTTACAGCCGTGAGGTCAAATTCAAATGTTTGTAATGTAATAGACTAACATATAAACTCGCCAACACTAATTTGAATACAAGAAATTCAATCTTCATATGAGAAACGCTAAGATGGTCACTGCAAGCATTTAGTTACGCATCACTTGAAAGCATACTTGATGATTCCAGGAAAATGGATGTTCATGAAATAGTCCTCCCAATCAATAATTTTGGGATCAAAGTAAAACAATTCTGTCTCTACTCCACCTTCTCTTGCCGTTGATAATAACTTTTCTGTATTTATATTATCAAAGCTGTGTACAAAACATGCATTCTCATGAGTTCATGAATATTACTACCAGACTAGCTTTTCATTATACTATGTATTGGCTTGTAATAACTAACTTACATTCCATTGAAGAACAAGTAAGGCCTGTAAAGGTCAAACAATCGCATGATAGTGCGGATCTTCCTATTGAAGTCGAGACACATTTCCTGAAAACAATGGCACGAAGCTGCATTGACCAGTTCTAGTCCCTATCAAATGCAAACACATTGCTGTGAGATATTCTTTTTTATAAGCTCAAGTAAAATTCACATGATGTGGTGTTTTGTTAGAAGTGATAGGATGAAAATCAGAAGAAATTAAGGATTTGAAGTAACCTTCAATGGAAGCAGATAACGAATGTACACATAATTGTGGAAGCTAGCAATGTCGCTCAATATGGTAAGTTTGCCAACTTTGACAGGCTTTCCCTCCTTGTTTATCCAAGGTTTTTCCATGAAATATCTTGCGCAGTAGTCTCGAAGATTAAGGTACCTAACTGGATTTACAACAGAGGAACCCACATGATATATGATATCACTAGGTTTATTTGCATGAGCCACCATGCTCACTAGGATTGCATTCACCACCATGTCTGCCGGTATCTGTTTCATGGTTTGTTTGAACCAAACATTTGTCAGGTACAACAGCTTTTCAGTCAACAAAACGATTTCAAACTCATCAACATTAGTCTATCCACGTTCTGAAAAGAACCAGAGGAAAGGTTTCACAATACCAATAAAGGAATCAAGGTTTGGTTAGTGACTTACCACGTCAAAAACAGCCTTAAGATTGGCAAGGAAGCAAGTTAACTTTCCTTTAGCATAAGCAACAACTAAGCTGTCAATGGTTCTGTAAAAAACTCCCCATCAGACGAGATAAATTTGGGTTGTTATGTGTCTCCATTTCTAGATACCATTTTCTTGGAAACCAGAAACAAAGGGATCATAATTCAATCCATATACATGTGATTTGATGATGTACCTTAAACCTTCTATCCATCCAGGGAAAGGTTCTCTATAAGTGCCAGTAATGATTGTGGGACGTACAATTACTACGTTCATGTTTCCCTTTGCAGTTCCTACTATCATTTCTCCCATTGCCTTTGTAAAAACGTAAGTGTTTGGCCATCCATACATCGTTGCTCTATTAAAAATTTTGGAACACACTCGAAATTATATGTAGGTTATTGAAATTGTTAAACAAATATGAAGATGGTACCAATGCAATGGAAGTTGTAGACTTGGGACCAACCTTTGACTTCCCAACTCCTTCATGGCCAATCCAATATCATGTTCTGTGGCTCCCTCCTCTCTCAGCTCCTTCAATTTCTCCTCCACCTTCTTCTTTTCCATATCAATGTCTAGTCCAGTCACTCCATTTAGTGACACACCAAAGTGGTGTGGATCCTCTAGTATGAGTCCTCCTCTTTCTCCACATACATAAGCTGCAACATAACAATAAAAATTTCTCTCAAATTTTTTAAGATAGCGTGGCCCAAAGTTTTCTAATATAATTTATGATTTTTATCACCAAATTTAATGAATATTTAATATATTTACTTGTATATTTACAATTTTATCCTCCCAACTTTTTCTCAGTTTTATAACTCTTATATAATTTATGATTTTGTCTCCCTAAAACTTAATTATCATTTAATATATTTAAGCATATATTTATAATTTTATCTTTTTACCTTTTCATCTTTTTATTTTCTTTTATATTTATTTATTATTTATTAATAATATATTATTTGATCCTTTCAAGATTAATGATCAAGATCCGCCACTGATTTCATGGACATAGTGTTCTGTGGAATCATTTTCTAAATATTTTCATCATGAGTGTAAGATAAAGTGCAACCTGCAACATCCTCAGAAGGTTGAACGTGAGATTTGATTCTGTTATCATGCAGATATAGTTTTGATTATGATGAAGGGCATGCATATATACTAACCTGTTGATACGTGGACAAGCACCTTTAGCTTTACACATTCTTTGGCGAAGCTCATCACATGCTTAACTCCTAATGTATTTATCCCCAATGCAACATCGTATCTGCATATTTAATAGGCATATAAGAGGAGAAAAATATTTATAAAATTTCATCAACCACAGAGAAATAAACTATTATTTATCAATGTGAGCAGCGACACATATATACACACACATATATATGTATGTTTTTAAAATTAGAGTTTAATTTGAAAAAAAAAACTCTATATATATCAGAAAATATGATAGATATGATTTTTAAAATGACTGTCTAAGTTAAAAAACTTATTCTACATGCACCAGATTGTTTATTCTAAAAACTCAAGATGTACTGTTTATTCCAAAAAACTGTATCACTTTGAACATTACCTTTCATCGAAGTTAGTTGTCGCAGCTAGATTAACTATAATATCTGTTTGGTTGCAAATTTCTTCCCTCAGAATGGAGTTCTTCAAATTCAAGTCCTCTTGAGAAATGTCTCCAGGTACCAGAGTCAACTTTTCTGAGACAAAGGAATTGAATCTTGTACCCAGTTTTTCCTTCAACAATCTAAACAAGTCCTTCCCTATGATCTACGTACATATGAAAATACAATAGGGTGCATCAAGAAGAATCGATCAGACACAAACCTACTTAACTAACATCTCGTAGTGCAGATAATAAACACATTTAAGAGTTGAAAGGCTTTTAAATAAATTGGAGAAGAAAGTTGTAACTAATATTTTTACATTCACCTCATTATCTAAGCGTTGAGTAGCGGATTCAGTATCTTTAACTCTCATAAGCAGAAAAAGTTTCTTCACATCTGGTTGCACCCTCAATATTTTTTCCACAAAAACTACAACATCATACCAGGAAAACACACTGTATAAGTACTAAATATAGCCTAACAATAACACAAATACAACATAAGCAAACTTAGAAGGAGAGATATGAGAGAAAGAGAGACTTTTTGCAAGGAAGCCAGTGGCACCAGTGACTAAAATGGTCTTATCCTGAAGGAAGTGAACAATGCTTCCCAGTTCCATTGGAGATAAATTACGAGAGGGAGAAAGATCTCAAAGTGAACCTTGATCAAATAATAAGACACAACACAATGCTGATGTCTAAATATAATGTCCCATGGCCCCAAATATGCATCTATATATATAGTTATACACATACACTGTTTCATTTTTTTTACTATATATAATGGAAAGGCATGTTACAAATATAATGCAATAACTTGTTTCGGTACAGTAAGCATTACTTGTGGATAACACTGAAATATGAATATCAAGCTTTTCCGCCGCCTTCCCTCTTCACGGTTTTCAACACATGTCCACAGGGTAATTTGAGCCGAAACATTTGCATTTCTGCAAATGCAAATATTAACTCTTAAACAATGATTAGAATTATGTTAATGCGTATTTTCCGCAACGCTGTTCTTCACTTCTCTCTCGATCGGTCCTCCATCCTGAAGCTCAACGGTTGGGGTTTGCAAGGGGCATGGGAGACAGTGATGGATAAGCAAAATGCCATAAAATCAAGAAACCAAACATTTTCCCTACAATCCATTATGTTGATTAAATAATTTTAATTATTATTATATCAATATTATTGGATGTTGATTGGTTATTGAGGGTTTTAAAACAACATGGTTCTAAATCAATGTTATTTACTTCGTTTTTAACATTTCAATAGTATTAGGTTAGTTTCACTGCCTGTGTAATCAATTTTTTAGTTTTCAATAAATTTTAATCCTCCTAAAACAAGTTAATTGCTCAAAATATAAAAAGAAAAGAAATAAACTTACGAAAAAGAATATGTAAAATTGTAGATTTTCTTAAAATTTATAAACTAAAATGTTAGAAATAAAATAAGAAGGAGTGATATTGCGGATAAAAATGGAAAATAAAAAACAAAATTGCAATTTAACATATTTTATATAATTGACTGCTCTGAGTTTTTTTTAATGTTATATATATATATATATATATATATATATATATATATATATATATTAATGTTTTTTATGAAAGAATATATTCAATACATTTCATGTACACGTGAAAATATTGCAGTTTTATTAAACTTTTACTTTTTTTTTTAATATTTGATTATATTATGTTGTGTCATAATTTTTATTTTATTTTAATTTATTAAAATATATAATAATATCTTTTAATATATAATGTTATTGTCTTATATTTATTATAGCATTAAGTATTGTTAGAATCAAATTATTATATTGTATTATTTATAAATATAGTCTTTAATATAAAAATAAATAATAAAAATAAATCAAATTTATATTATATTCGTAATAATATAAGTCTATTATTATATTTAAATTATTGTAATTTTAAAATTTTAAAACATTTTAATAATTTTTAAAAAAATATATATATATATATATATATATATATTATATTAATCTCAAATTTTATATCACGACTAATTTTTACACTAATATATTTAAAAGATTTTATATTATATAATATTTTTTTCTTCTGACACAAAATTGTGAAAGATACACTAAGTTTCAAAATGAAAAACATATGAAGTATACGTATCTTAATGATGTCAAACCTCCACTTTTAATTCCACTTGTAACCTCATGCAAATTAAAATTGCAAAATAGCTTACCTACTACTTTTTTAACATCATCACTTTAATCAAAATATGAATCCTTATAATTTAACATTTGTTTTAAACAAGGTCTATATTATCCTTACAGGTACACGAACATTAACAAAAACATCATGTTGCGTATAAATTTTACTATGATTTCAATAATAATAAAAAGAAAAACATAACGACAACTAATACCACAATAACCAATGTTGCAGTAGTCAATTAGTTCTTCAACTACGAAAAATGTTGAAGAAGCTTCATGAAATATTTGTTGCTTATTTGCTTGTTCTACTTCTCATTATGAATTTTGAGAATTTGTCACCATCTGAAGAAGTTTCGTTTTACTTCCTTCTCAGGTTTAAAACAAAACGTAAACGACATATTTTGTACGAGTCAAAGTATGGAGAATTAAATATATATCTCTACCTACTCTTTAGAAATCTTTGGCATGCACCAATACGAAAGAGACCTTCTTTCTCCTCGTATTATGCCACAAATTCATATTATATATTTTAATAAAGCTATTTTTTTTTAATTATTAACACTTTTAAGAAAAAAAAACTTCTATAAATTAAAATTAGTTTATTTATAAATTAATTTGTTGAACTTTTTTTTTTCTAACTTGTGGATAGGATAAGTTTAACTTGTAAGAAACTCATCTCATTTTTTATTTATTTCTCTATTTTATAAGTATTTACTAAAATAATATCAACTTTAATTAGAATATAGTATAATTAAGTCAAACTAAACCTAATTTGATTTAATAAGATTAGTTTAATTCATATTTTAATTCAAGTTCGATATAAATAGTCCTTTTCAAGTTAAGATTTGTTAATATTACATTTTTTATTTATTATATATATATATATATATATATATATATATATATAAATTTAATATATATATATATATATATATACACATATATTTTTGTGCACAAATATATTATTCAAGACTATTAATGTTTAATTTAAACTTATTTATTTACTAAAGTGATTTTTCAGTTCAAGTTTAGAATCTCAGACTAATTTTTGTTTAGATTCCTGATACTAATTTTAAATATTTTTGTGTGTTATTAATTAACTTCCTTTAGGTCTTGTTCAAATTTGATGTCATCAGACTTTAGGTTTTCTGCTGAACCAAATTAATTTAGAAGAAAATTTTCAAAAATTAATAAACTATGTTCATAAAAAAATAATAAACAATCAAACCAGTACAAAAAATAGTATCGAATAAGTTTATATTAAACTAACCAACTATATAACTTCAAAATCAATGTTAATTAAACTGCCAAATTATCGTTAAAATAAAACTGCCAATTGTATGATAAAAAAAATAAAATTATTCTTTCTTGTATTTATTTTCCTTAATTAAAAACTTCTTTATAATATAAATCAGTGATAATAATATTTATTTATATACTATATTATTATATTTCTACCTCAGGAAAAGATTTTCATGACTTCATCCCTCGTAATAATATAAAAATCGTATTTATTATATATTATAATTTTAATTTTACGAAATGAGTTAAAGATTTTCTTGGCATAATACTCTTGTCTAATATTTAAGTATGATAAAGAATAAAATCTTGCACCATCATATTTTTAGTCTTCAAATGGAAATTTATATTAATATATTTATTAATTTTATATTACTTATTAAAAATTGAGGTAAAAAATAATTTATATATATTTTATTTTTTTAATTTTAATAAAATATTTTTTAATAATAATATGTTAAACACAAATTCTAAAATCAACAATATCCTATAATAAGAATTGATAAAACAATATTATTATCATATGAATATAAAATTAAAACAATGAAATAATAATAATTTTTTCTTTGGCAATTACGAGAATGAGGTGTGAGGACATATTGACGACAAACTAGAAAACGTAAAGCTTTGAACAAAATAAAAAAAAATGTCAAATCAAACAAGTAATCTTTGAAAAACATAGTTTTGACTTATTTAAACCACTTGTCGATCGGTGTGGGCTCTTCTCAAACCCTCAAATCAACTTCTTGTTCACCAATTTTCATTTTAATGGCAGACACATCAATCTTAAACAAATTTCATCAAAAAAATCAACTTCTTAAAGACACGTTTCTTTTCCTTTTTTTTGTTTTCTTTCAAAAAACTATATTTTAACTTTTCAAAGAAATGTTTTTTTTTTTTTTTGAAAAGTTACAAAATGTTGAACTACATTTTTCGGAAGTTAAAACGAGTATTTTTTTTCTTTAACAAATAGAAGACATCATTATAAAAGATTTTTAATTTTAAGTTGAGTTTCATCTGAATAATTAAAACAAGGTTAAATATTTTTTAATCTTTCGTAATTTTTATACAAATATATTTTCATTTTTATATTTTAAAAGTTAATAACTTGATTCCCAATCTTTAAAAATATGAATTTAATTCTTAAATTAACTTTATAATAAAAAATATTACTAAATATCAAAATTAGGTTTAAAAAATATTAAAATTTCGTACATAATTAAGTATTAAAGAACAAAAATAACTTTTTCACAAAATAATCATTTTTACACTTTCAATCAATTAAAAGTGATTTTAACATATATGTTTTAAATATATTTACACCACGTGATAGTTTATAATTAAATAATAATACTATCAACATCAATATATAAATTCTTTGTTCTTTTAATTTTGTTAATTATATGTGTTTTTATAAGTTGTTTGGACTATGTACATAGTTGATAAGATAACTATTTATATTAACACGATGGTGTGACCTAAGTATTACGATTTCGATTTCTTATTCTAGATGAAAATGTTATAAAAATTTTAACATTCTTTATGTAAAAAGTACAAATAGGGTTAAACTTTTTTTTAAAAAAAGAACGAAGGGTTTAAACTTACACAGATAAAGACTAATATTTTTATTGTGGTTGGCACCAACAAGCCATATTTTATGCTTTCTTATTTTTATCTTCAATTCTTTCATCTTTTTAAACCCAACCAAAACTTCTTTTAATAAAACCCAATCAAAACTTCTTTGAATAAAAGCAAGAATAGGGAATTACCTAATTTAATTCTATAAAAATCAGATAATGGTTATAATTAAATATATATTATAATATTATGATAGTTAGAAATTCTATATTTAATAGAGAAATGATAATATAATAGTATATAAGTGAATATAATTCTTATTTTATTGAATTAGTTTTGTAGAATTAAGTTAGGGTATTTTATAATTTTTCTAAGATGTTTGAAGATTTGAAAGGATTCAAAATTTAAACGATTGTCATTGCTCGGATATATCTAGATTAAAATTAACTATAAATTATATGACATATAATCATAGAAAGATTACTAAAATAAATCCATCTACATAAAAATATAAAGCCCAGGAAAATAGTTTTTAAATCTTACTAGTACTTCAAAGTTCGATTTTGTCTTGATTGTTTTAATGAGTCACATCAAAGGAGAAAATAAAAAGTTTGAAATTTGGTTGTGATATCAATGTCTTAGTCATCTCTCATTTGAGTATTTAAACAAATATTTTCTACTTTATTTAAGAAGTATATTATTTCTAATTTTCACTTGTTATGTTTTGTGAATTCACAAAGAGTTATACAACTTTATTTTTATTAATTTTAAATAAAAGAATATATTCTGATGTATGAGGTTCATCTAAAATCCAAACTTTAGATGAATCTCATTAGTTTGTCACGTTATTGATGATTGTACATAAATGACTTAGATATTTTTAATGAAATAAAAAATGAGTTAAATTTATTGTTTAAAAAGTTTCATAAAATGATAAAAATTTAATATAATGCTTAAATTCAAGTTTTTCGTAATGATAATGATAGAGAATATAAAATTTTTGAACTACAACAATATTTAGAAGATAATAGAATTATTAATCAACCTACTTGTCAAAATACACCTAAACATAATGAGATTGTTTAAAGAAAAGATCATTTGTTAGAAGTTGTTCATGCTTCGTTAATTGAGACATACATATCATTATATTATTGGGGAGAAATTAGGATACCATTTTAGCAAATGGTGAGATATCTAACTCACTATCTCAATTTTTTAAGATAGTATTAAAATCAACTCTAACGATATTCAAAAATTAATACTTAAATTGTGATTGACTTACCTATCTAATGATAAACTTAACCATCTGTTATCGGACCAATATTGACCCATTAATCCTTGATATAAGGGGATGTAATAAAAAAAATCATTCAAAAGGGGGTGTGTTAAGAAATCTCACATCAACTAAAGATATGATAACATAATAATACATGGATGAATACAATATTCACCTTACTAAATTAATTTTATAGGATTGAGTTAAATATTTCATCATTTTCTAAAAATAATATTTTAGTCAAGGTTTTATTATACCTCTGGTTGTATCTTTCAAGAAGAATTTTTTCATCATTCGTCAACTCAAATTTTTTCTTCAGAAAAAAATAAATCTATTAAAAATACTTATGTTTATGTATGATCAACCCTTCCAAGCATACCCTTCTTTATACTTTTTAGAAAAAATATAATAATGTAAAATTAATTCTTAAATTTATGAATACATGTGAATTTAATTTTAAAATTGAAAAAACGATATTTGAGTGTTTGAAATTATTGAGTGTCAATTATTTTAGTTCTTGATGTTATAAAAGGATTGCCATTGTACTTTTTAACATTAAAATAATAAAAAACTTAGAAATTTAAAAACTAAAATGATTTTTCAAACTTAGAAAAGTTTATCCCGAAATGGACAAATAAAGTCCTGATGGTGCTTCGGAGTTTTTTCTTTCCCCTAAGAAATCACCATCAATTTCTATGTGATTGAACATATTCTTTCATGAAAAATTAGAATAAATGAGAGATTAAAGAAAAAAATAATCTCTTTTCAAACTTCATAAACATTAAAAATGTTAAAAAAAATTATCAAATAAATAAATTTAAATATTAGATTTAAAAAATTAGTCTAATTTATTTAAAATAACTCATGTGATTACCTAATTCGAACATAATAAATGGACCTATGAATTCTAAATACAGGATGGTACGTGTCTAACTACAGTTTTAAGACCACCACCACCACTCAATCTACCAATTCCTTGTAATTTGCTGCAAGAAATATTAAAAATTAAAATTTTTCTAAATCCCTTTGATTTGATTTTAACTAAGAGGAGTCATGCTAGTATATATTATAATTTCGATTTGATCGGAATTTGTTTTTAATTATAAAATAAATAAATAAACGAACAGATAAGGTTAAACTTTGTTCAATAAAAAAAAAGTTAAAAAAATTGTTTTAATCAATTTTTAGTTATGAATCGATTTTGGATTTTATTGTAGGATTAGTTGAATTTTAAATACCCTACTCCAAAGACACACTAAAGTTAGTATTTTGTCTTTTTAACGTTAACGCGTTATTGTGAAGATAAAAAAAAGAACAAAAACAAACTCTGTTGTGATGCTAATGATGTTTCTTCCATCTAATCAAACTTTTCAAACTTAATTTGCTTTTAGCCAATCCCAGTTACACTGATTTTGAGAAATACATAGCAACAATGCAATCGCTCTTACACAATTTTCAACTTAAATCATGTTTTTTTTATAAACTTCTCCATAATATTTTGTTTAGATAAGAAAGTAATATACGATGAAGTTGTCTAATAAGCTAAAATCAATTTATATACTTGGATTTTGTTAAAATTTTTTCATTTAACGTTTTTAAAAGCAGAATGTATAAATTGATTTGGCTTATTGCAAACTCAATTCATTTTATCTTCTTATTGTTTTTGTAAATTTTATGGAGAAATTTATCTAAACATAATTACTAGTATCACAAAGCACCAAAAAGTAAAAACATCACTTAAAAATGTACTTGACAATGCCAGGAAGATGGGTCTTCATAAAGTAATCCTCCCAATTAACTTCTTTTGTATCAAAGTAAAACAAATCTGTCTCTGTTCCACTTTGTTTTGCTGCCATTCGCAACTTCTCTGTGTTCATATCATCAAATCTGCATGCATAACACACTCTGTCTCAGTTAATACCTCAGAAAATCAATAAGTAAACATGTTCATGTGGAGTGTGTATGCTAGTATGAGACTGAAATGCTAGCTAGACTTAAAAAATGTGCATTGAATCTGAAGAATATAAAGTTCCTACTGTAGTTCAAGACACTTACATGCCATCGAAGAACATGTAGGGTCTGTAAAGCTCAACCATCCGCATCACAACTTGGATCTTCCTGTGGAGTTCAAGATAGGTTCCTCGAAAATACTGGCAAAGTGCAGTATTGACCAGCTCAAGTCCCTGTTTGATGGAAAATTTGTCTAAGACTTGTCAAGAATATGAAGTTAGGTGATAGTAGTGACTATTGTCATTCACCAATCGTGTCAAAAGCTTAAGCTTTTAGTTGAAAACAACATGAAGCTTCTTATAACACCATGTATTGAACTTATCCCAAAGGAGTTTAAGTTTCATAGAGACTTGATGTTAGATTAACTTTTACACTAATCAGAAATCGTTTCGTTTTCAAACAACCTTCTTAAGAATTCAAAGTTAAGTGTGAGTGATGATTTTGTTGAACCAATTATGTCAAAAGCTTAAGCTGTTACTTGAAAACAACAAGCCAAAAGTTTTATATTAATATTGTAATTTTCTCTGTACTTTACAAATACTTGATGGTGGCTAATGAGAAGAGATAAACTAGAGAAGAACCTTTAATGGAAGGAGGTAGCGAATGAACATATATCTCTGGAAGCTATCCATGTCGGTCAACACAGTTACTCTGCCAACTTTGACAGGTGTTCCATCCTTTTTTATCCATGGTTTTGCCGTGAAATATTTTAATCCAAAGTCTTGGAGATTTGAGTATGTGATTGGATTTCTAAAAGAGGAACCCACATGGTAAACAATATCACATGGTTGCTTTGCATGAGCCACCATGGCCACTAGCATTGCATTCACCACCATGTCAGCTGGGACCTGCACATTATTTTCATGGTATTTTGATAGAGATGGAGAAAAATTTAGCAGAACAAGACAAAAATGTGTTTCATGCAGTAACTCACCACATCCACAACTCCATTGATATCTCCAAGGAAGCATGTTAACTTTCCTTGTCCATAAGTAACAGCTAAACTGTCAATGGTTCTGTAACAAACAAAGGGAAAACCTTCCACTTTGAGCTCATATTTTCACTTTCACATATCCACTTTCACATATCCTGTTTATTGAGACTATTTGCTTAATTTTTGTTGTTGTTAAATGAGCATAATCATGAAACTTGTTTTTTAGTTAGCAACACAAGTTGTTGGTTCAGTAACTGATATAGGTAAAAACAGTATGCATGATTGGACCTTAATAAACTCCTTTATCTATAGCAGTACCCTGTATACTTAATCATGGTACTTATTTCTACATTATTTGAAGAACATTATGAACTCAAAATTGAAGTCGCCCCTTAAAGAGAGATTGAGTGTTTAATATTTGGTAAATGAAAAAGTGAAATTTTTATTTTTGAGTTACCTGACACCCTCAGCCCAACCAGGAAAAGGTTCTTTGAGTGTGCTTGTAACAATGGCAGGACGAATAATAACAACAGATAGGTTTCCTTTGAGTTTTTCCACAAACATTTCTCCCACTGCCTTCGTAAATACGTATGTGTTTGGCCATCCATAAACCTTTGCCCTGATCATCACACGCACCAAACATAATAATTTCGTAACTTTTATTAAACTTCACAAAAATTAATTTATAAGACAAAATTATGTAATTATATAGATAAGATATCCAACTAAGAAAATAATTATATAAATATTTTTCAATTTTGACCCCGTCCATCCATTCTATTTTCAGTTTTTCAACAAAATAATAAATAACACCTGTTTTTTAATAATTTAAATTAATATTTTAAAATTAAATCGATTAATTAATTAATTAATCCATAAAAACATAAATTTAAGATTTAAAAATTCAATCGAATTTAATAATTTTTTTCTAATATAATAATTATATAATAAATTTATTATTATTAATAAAAATAATTATCATAATTAATATAAATTACAATAAAAATTATAAATATAAAATATAATAAATAATAAAAAACAGATAATAATTAAAATAAAATAAAATATAATAAAATAATTATTATTTAAAATTGATATGATTAATATAAGATAAATTAAAATAAATAAATTATTATATTTAGATATTTAAAAATAATAAATCAATTTTTAAACTAATTTTTGATTAAATTTTTAAAACAGTATTTTAAATTAATGTCTTACAGGACATGGACCCACCTATTGGTGAAGTCGTTGTGGCTACCATTTTCCAGAAAGATCTTGATATCATAAGCCCATGTGGTACGACCCAGTGAATCATATGCAACACTTGATGAATTAAGTTTTATAAAGAATATATTATGCTAATATTTCTTCATATTTTTTTAATTTCTTTTTAGTTTTCCTTTTGTTAATTTTACTTTCAATTTATGAATATAAATGAGAAACTAATATAGAGTAATTAAGTAATTATATTAAAAAAAGAAATTATATTAAAATTTATATATATATAAGTGTACCAAAAATAAATGTAAAATTAAAAGTGACCTGTAATTTTTAAAGGAAATTATGTAAATACTTATATAAAGAGATTTTATTATTATTATTATTAATATTATTATTCCAAACAAAGACATACCCTGTAGAAGAAATTGAGAAATAAGGATCAATATTGTTTCCTTGCATTGATCCAATAGCCTTCTATATTTAGGGGTGACACCTACTTTTGGATAGTTAATATATATAGCAGGATAGTCTGAGTTAGTCATGTCATTTTGTATACTCAATAGTGCCACATGTTTGTCTGTTGGCATATATAGTCATTTCTACATTGAATTGTGTGTTTGCCCACAACTCCATAATTCAAATAAAAGTAAAAATTTCACATCAAATTCATACATATATATGCAGAAGCTATATCATTTTCCTGGTAAAATATACTATGACTAATGAGACACTATAATTCAAGCTAAGCTGAGTTTGAAAAGTGGTTGAACTTGAACATCACTTGCCAGGACCATGTGCTGTTTGATACAGAAAAGACATTTAGATGAGGACAGACAACTAAATTAGCCACACTTCTAACAGCTTATACTGGAACATTTTGTGAGAGTTGAATGAAATAAAATGTTTGATACATATTGCGACGTTAATTAAAGTTGTACCTCAGAGTGGGACATTGCATTAAAGAGAAAGTTGTTTATCAAAAAGTGAGACTCACGTACAAAATAATATGTGATTTGTTTTAGTTGCTGAGATATTAATGTGGTTAACAGTTAATCACAGAACAGAGTTTCTGAAAATGATCAATATGACAGATATGCTTAAGAAGGGAACTTAAAATACAGCATGTAGAGTTTCACAAACCTGCTAAGACCCAGATTCTTCATGGCAATTTTAACTTCACGTTCTGTGGCCCCTTGTTCTCGAAGTTCATCCAATTTGTTACACACTATTGTCCTTTCTGCATCGATGTCTAGGCCAGACTCTCCATTCAGTGTCTCACCAAAGTGATAAGGGTCCTCTAGTATGAGTCCACCTCTCTCACCACATACATAAGCTGAAATACGTGAGATGTACATCATCACTGTGTGAGACCAATTAATGCTTTTTTTCATCCTATTCATGACCAGTTAATGCTCTTTTATATACTGAGATGGATTGACACTGACATCAATTAATACTACCTGTTGATACATGAAGAAGAACTATCAGTTTAGTGCATTGTTTAGCGAAGTTCATGACATGCTTGACCCCAAAGGTGTTTAGACCCAACGCTATATCGTACCTGCATTAAATTTTTTCAAGGGAGAAAATTGAAGTAAAGAAAAATCCACTGTGGTGGAATAATATAAATTTGAATTAGCAAATAACAAAAGTCTATGATACTTAATCTTGTACCTTTCATCAAAGTTCGTAGTTGCAGCCAAATTGACAATAACATCTGTCTGATTGCAAATCTCTTCCCTCAGAATGGAATCCTTCAACCCCAAATCCTCATAGGAAATGTCCCCCGGCACAAGAGTCACTTTTTCAGAAATAAAGGACTTAAAATTTGCACCCAGTTTTTCCTTTAGCACGATGAACAAGTCCTTCGCTATGATCTAATTCCCAAAAGTATATATTAAAGCACGTATTAGCCACAACAAGTTTACTTAAATGAGACATACGCGTGCTCACATATTAATAGTTGGGACAAGCTTGAAAATGATATATGAAGCAAGCCATGTGTATCCATCTACTTGAAGTCCTTAGTTTCATGCTTAATTATAATCATAAATGCGGGCATGAGTTTTAGATTTGAAAAAGTCACAAGAAGTATTATGATGAAGAATACTATCAATCTTTAGATAATGAACCATAATAATAGCATGTTATGACTAGTGTTGAATTACTAAAATTTCTCTTTTCATGGTGTGAAAAAATAAGTTAGGATAGTTACAAAAAAGTATAACTTCTGATGTATATGGTATTCATCCCCTTATGCACATCTTTCTCAACAGAAGATTATATATATATATATATATATATATATATATATATATATATACATGTATGTATGTATGTATATGTATATAATATATGTATGTATGTGAGAAAGCGATAGATCGAAGATGCAGAGAATGACATGGACTTTACTGCACACAGCACCATCACGATGTTAAATAATATAATATTTGTGTATCTACGGTATATATGATTCACCCTTATAGGCATGACATCATTCGCACCAAATGAATATGTGAAAAAGTGTGGTCCCTTTCCTGTACAATGCAGAAATGATATATGTATAATAATATAAAGGGATAAACAATAGTATAATTATGGTGTAATGAAGAAAAATAGTAAGAGTTAATGAATGAGATGTTTGACATATAAAAGTAGTTATATTATAGTTTTAGTGATTTGAGAAAATAATCATAGATATTTGGGGTGCTAGTGAAAGAAAGAGAGATATAAATTGATAGAAAGAAGATAGAGAGAAATAAGGATCTCAATAAGATATTTGAAATATAAGAGTGTATATGTGTGTGATTAGTGTAGTATTAGTGCATTTACCTCATTGTGCAAGCGATAAGTAGCAGATTTGGCATCAGAAGCTCTTAAAAGAAGAAAAATCTTCTTAACATCGGGTTGAGCCCTCAATATCTTCTCCAGAAAAACTGAAACATGCATATCCAAAGACATCACCAATATAGCAAAAAAGTGCACAGAACATTCTGAATGGGAGAGAGAAGGAAGAGAGCTTAATTACTTTTGGCAAGAAAACCGGTGGCTCCAAGAATTAAAATGGTCTTGTTTTGAAGAAAGTCGAGAACACTTCCAATCTCCATTGGAGAAAATGTATTGAGAAAGGCAAATAGAGCAAAAGGGGGTGTCACAGAAGAGGAAAAGTGGTGTGTGAGGTGAATCTAAGTCGATGCATTTCATATAAAAAGAGGAACAATGATGGAGCAATTATGACCTGTGTGAGTTGGGTTGTGGGCAAGCTGTTGGTGATAGTGAAGTCAAGCCTTCAATTTTAAAAAAGATAACTTTTTTTTTCTTAAATCTCTATCATGTTAAAATATTGGGTAAATCAAGTTACCGATGAAAAAGTTGTAGTAATATCTAGGTTAAATGTACATATCCCCATCCCATACCCCATTTGAAGAGTGAGAGATTGGGTTTGATGAGGGAGAAGAGAAAGTTACTTAGGTGATAATAATTGACTTAACACCTAAGACAGACATTAATTACTTAATTAATTAATTAGTTGTATAAAGGAAAGGTTCTTAGTATATAGGGTTTGTGTGTCTTGTTTAAATGTGCCTATAAATCCCACCACCAAACTGTGTTTGATATTTGGTCCTTGCACATGAAGTGTATGAATCAGCTCAACTGTCCCTCTGCTTCTGTCCTACAAAGTCAGAACTCACAAACAATAACACACCCTTAATCTCATCAAATTATGAAGTTGGTCTAGCAACTGCCCTACTCTAGTACTATATATTTAAACAAAAAACATTCACTTACTTTAAATATTAAAATTATTAATTTATTCTAAATCTAATAATATTAATCAAATACAAAATTTTAAAGTTAAAATACTTATTATTAAAATAAATGGATTATTTCTCTACCCTCAATATTGTTCTTATTGAGTTTCTTCTATCTAATTTACTTATTTTATTTTCACTTTAAATAAAAATAATTTAGTTTTTAAATTATTTATTTGTATATTTAATACCTAATTGCAATATTTAGATGTTGTAATTTCTCACATGATTTTGTTGTATCTTTAAATCTACTGAGTAGTTGGAGGATCCAAAGTCAACAAAGGAGGCACTAGACATAACTTAGGGAAAGAAGCAAAATATAATTTATTTTGTTTGTCTATAAGTTTCGTTTAGTTAACTTGTTTGTACAAAAATTCAAGTTACCGTAACAAAAAGTAGTTAAAACATGACAAAAACATAATCTTAATTTATATTAATTTAAAAATCTTATTGTTTTTCACTACTACAACAAAAATGATAAGAATAAGAATGAGAAAGAAAAATAATTTTATTGTTTTATAATTAAAACTTTGTCATACAATTTTACTATAGACTAATATATTTTTAGTTTTATATGTATAAGGGCTCATTTTCTATTTTGATAAAAAAAAAATAAGGCTCATTTTGTTCTGTTTTTCATAATATACGACTCCGAAAGTAACAATTTTCATAGAAAATTATTTATTTATTTATTTATTAACTTACTTGCCTTCTCACGTATCTCTAACAATTAATAAATATATTATGGGATAGAAATTTTACAATTCAAGTATAGTAAATGTATTATAATTTTTTTAAAAATTTACATCTTCTGATTTCTAACAATTTTTTATTCAATTTACTTGCCTTCTCACACTGATATTATTAACATATATAGTTATAATATTTAAATTGATAATTCAATTTTCATAAATACAAATTTTACTAATGAAATCAATTTTTTCGTTTTTTATGGTTTTTCTTTTATCTAAACCTGTGATATTTAATTATTTTAACCTAGGTTCCTTCTTTCATATATAATATTTATAATAATGTATATCTTAAACATTAAATTTATATATATATATATATATATATATATATATATATATATATATATTATATCGCAGTTGTTGTAAGATTTGAAATAAGAGAAAAATCATATATTATAGATTCTTGCCTTAAAAATCTTGTTGAGAAGAATTTTATACAAGCAAGTCTTTATTGTACCATAGTAATAAAAATAAGATCATGAACTTATAATTAAAAAATATTTCGATTAAACAAAATATATCAATATAAAAAGAAATCATATTTAAAAAATAAATGATTGAAAAATTTAAGAATAAGTTGAAATTAAGTAAGAAGGATGAAGTTGATAATAAAAAAGACATATTCCATAATGTGTTAAGTTTTTCGAGTGAAAATATAATCTCTTATAAATAACTATCTTTACATATATAAATTTTGCATTAATACAAGCAAAAAATTCGCATTAATTCAGAAACAAAATATAAAATAAGATAATATTAAAGATTAATACATAAACAAAATATAAAATAAGATAATATCAAAGAGTTTTGTACATGTATACGAAATCAAAGTAATAATAATACTGAAAAAACAAAAATAATTATGTGTAACACCACATAGAAGGTCTTGATTTTATTTTTTAATTTATCTTTTAGACTAACAATAATAGTTGCTCCAATTCTATAACTTTTTCTACGAAACCGGCCATTGACAAAAACGAATCCGAAAGCTTCTTTCAAGATTTCTTCCAAATATTTTATAAAATGGAATAGTAAATACAGTGTCATTAATGCTTTTATATATGCAATAATGTCTTAAGCGTAGCTCAAGGAATCTTTATTTGATTACAAGTTATGTTTAACTAGCCACCTATCTTAAAATTCATAAATTAATTTAAAACTCATAAGCTTCTACTTGAAATTAAAATTAATATAAACTATAATTTGTTAGTAAAATGTTAATGACATAACTTTTTTAAGGGATAAATTAGATTTTAAAAAATCTTTTGAATTTTTAATTAATTAGTTAAAGAATTTTTTTATAATCAATTATGAAATAATTATCACAGTTTATATAAAACAAATATACCAAGATAAAGAAAAGAATAAAAGCCACACAAATTTATACTCATTCAATTTTTCTTGAATCTACATCCATTTTTAACCAAGCCCGAAATTTTGCTCTCAATAACATATTTACAATTTAATCAAATGATCTTGATTAACAACAACCTCTAATCAAGATCACAACACTTGAAAATGTTCTACCTCACTACTTTCAAGTTACTTTGATGTAACTAGTCTCACATACATCAAAATTTAAGAACAAGATATGAAAGAAAGATGAAACGAATTCACCTTGGATTTACAGAATTATACACTTATAACCAAACAATCTTTCTTTGAAATTGAATTTCAAAATCTTTTGCAGAATTATGCTTTTTCCTTGATGCCCAAAACGTTCTTTCTAATTGCTTGTGTTTGTATTTAAAAATTAATATTGATCAAAGAAAGTTTGCGACCTTTTATAAAAAGAAAACTATTATAACTGTCACAGATAATCGATTAGCAGATTTATCTAATCGATTATTTGAGTGCATTAGTAATTTGAAAATAGTCAGATAACCAATTAGGTGCTTACATAATCGATTATTAGTGTGTTGTGTTAAAACAAAATTTTTGACAAATAATCTATTAAGTAACCACATAATCGATTATTAGCGCGTCTTATGAAAACTGAATTTCAAGTCATATAATCGATTAACCATTTATCTAATCGATTAGTAGTGCATTATGTTAAAACAAAATTTTTGATAAATAATCGATTAGGTGAACCACATAATCGATTATTAGCGCGTTCTATGAAAACTTAATTTTAAGTCATATAATCGATTATCCCTTTATCTAATCGATTATTAGTGTATTGTTTTAACATATTTGATTATTCAAAGTTTGACTTTATACAAACTAACTATCCTAACTACCTTGACATCATCAAAAACAAATTTCCTAGTTTTATCTTCCCTCTTCATCAACAATCTCCCCCTTTTTTATGATGACCAACCACCAAAGATAAGAGTAAAAGTTATTTAGCAGTATCAGACTCTATCTCCTCCTACAATAGTAAACTCTTTCTTTCTCCCCCTTGAACTTAATAAAAAAATGTTAAATGATGTAGTTTGAGAGATTAATATGCATAATATTAGAAAAAAGAGTTATAAGCAGTATTTGGTTACAGAAAAGTTAAAGTAAATGATAGTTAAAGTAAATTTGTCCAGCCAAAACATGAAGAAGAGAGAAAAAAGATAATCAATCATCATCATTGGATGATAATTGGACAGTGCCATCATTGTGATCTCCATTATCTTCCATGTTAGTACCATCATGTTTTGGTTGTAGCATTCTTATGATTGAAGCTACTTGATCATCTAGTGCATCAAATATGTAACAATAGTATTGATGCTTATCTTGTTGTCATATATGAATACTATCAAGTTTTTCTAGCATGCTTTGCTTAAATGCAGAAAAATTTCTCCTGGTAGAAGAATCAGGGATATCAACATTGATTGGCTCTACTCCTTCATTAATAAATTCATCTTCATCCTTGAAGAACTATCCATTATCCCTCTTTATCAGTCCCATATGATGAAGAACAGACTTTCCAATTGCATTGGCATGACTTGTGACGTTTATTATTATTATTTATATAAGAGTAGGAGGTCAAAAATATTACATATATGTAAAAGTAATTTACATCACTATATAAGATATACAATAGAAGAAGGAATTTTATTTTTGATTCCTTCTATTTTTTCTACGATTTTACAAGTATCTACATTGCCGGTGGAAACAAACTAATTAAGGGGTTTTGGAAAAAGGTAGGAGGCATACAAAAGGTAACCACTACTTGGCCCATCTAACATAATGGGATTTCCCATATCGGATACAAATGTTATTATTGAAAATCCTGTCCCTCTAAAAGTAACCGAATTGTCTATAACATTTGTGTTCCAAGTAGTTCCGAGAAAGAAGGCGAGTGATGCTTGCAGAAAAGGGATTTGGAATATTTGGCGCCTCCATCTACTTAAGTTGATTTTTAAATAAAACATGCACAAAAGATCACAATAGGGAGTGAGAACATTTATCAATTACAATAATACAATCTTATAATATATAGATATATATGTTTCAACTTCCTCAACACATTCTATTTTATGAAGATTTAAATTAAATTTGTAGTGACTAGTCGGGATAAATGAGTTCAATTTTAATCACTCTCACAGT